TCTTCAAATCTAAATTCAGGAGGTGCATGCTAAGTCTCACATATTTCTGCACACTACAGTGGTCCTGTTAAAAAAAGGAAAAAAAAGAAAAGAAAACCAAAAAAATCCTCAAATAGGGGCACCTGGGTGGCTCTGTCGGTTAAGCGTCTGACTTGTGATTTCAGCTCAGGTCATGATGGATCTCAGTTCGTGAGATTGAGCCCTGCATCGGGCTCTGAGCAGGCAGTGCGGAAGCATGCTTGGAATTCCCTTTCTCTGCCCCTCCCCTGCTCACACACACTCTCTCTCTCAAAATAAATAAACTTAAAAAAAAAAAAAACTCAAATAAAATGCAAGATGCTAAAAATAAAGAACTGATACAGCAAAACCTAATAACTATTAATGAATTTTTTCATGTTATACTAACATTTTCAGAAATTATAATTTGAGCATAACTACTCTTGCTACTTTTACAGCTTCATTTAAAAAATCTTAAATCTATATTAGAAAACCAAATAACAGCTTTAGAATGATTTCTGAAAATGAGAGCCCAGTTTTAGTTGAATGTTTCCATAGAGATTAAGTAGAACGACTTTCAAATGACCAGGATCATGCACTAAAACCTGAATGTCAAGAAATGAACTCAACCACCAGATAATAATAGAGTCCCCATCTGTTTGTTTTTTTAATGTTTATTTTTTGAGAGAGAGAGACAGACAGAGTGTGAGCAGGGGAAGGGCAGAGAGAGAGAGAGAGAGGGAGACACAGAATTCGAAGCAGGCTCCAGGCTCCGAGCTGGCAACACAGAGCCCGATGCGGAGGCTCGAACTCACAAGCTGTGAGATCATGACCTGAGCCAAAGTCAGCTGCTTAACTGACTGAGCCATCCAGGCGCCCCAGTCCCCATTTGTTTTTGACAAAAACAATCTTCCACTAGGAACAACTGTGATACTTAAGATGAGAAAAAAGGTAAATAATAGAAAAGGAAAACATTCAGACCCCAAAGACTAAGTAAGAAATATCACTGAAAAGTCAACCTAAATATAATTCTCAACACCTGTACCACAAAGGTTACTTCCTACAGCAATAAATTTACATATATTTTAAAGCGTATCTTACCTAACAAAATTATCTTCTTTAATTCTATTCTGTATTATTAGAAGGGAAAAGGATTACTTCAAACAAGTTACCAATCATTCTTTAATTTGCATAACAGCTACATTTGTGTTATCTCAATTTTGTTTATACTCATCAGTTACTCAGGGGCTTTAAAACAAACAAAACTCCAAAGACTATTCCCTGAAATCTTGTTCCTGGGACTGAAAATTACTGCAGATTCTCATCCTGAAAAACACGGAATTTGGCACAAATGTAAAAAAGGGCAAAAAAAGAAAATCAATATTCAAGTGGAAGATTCAGTTCAATGGGTTATTTTAAGAACTAAAGCAAAGAAATAAGTTATGGTTTCTTAATCACAAACCACATCACATTTCTGCAGCACTGCTAAACTTTTCATAAAACATTAATAACACCTGTATCAACTATACTTCAGCTTAAAAAAAAAAAGAAAATTAAGTCCAAAAAAAACTCATCACATACTCATGATACTCATGATGAGACATAAGCTTTAATTTACCAAAAAAAAAAAAAAAAAAAAAAAAAAAAAAGCCAGAGTAAAGCCAGCACTAAGTACACTGGAGCTTAACCAAAATTTATGATTTGACCTCCCCTTCCAAGTAGATCTGGAAACAATCTCATCAAAATATAAAGTGAATATATCAAGTTACCAAGCGAACTCTATTTAGAAGCAATTTGTGGAGAAAAGTACTTAAAGTAATCAAAACCATTCACAAATCTATGTATAAATACATTTTCTTTAAAAAGTTATGCTACATTTCTTAAAAAAACCAAGATGTCTCTACAGAAAAGCAATAAACTCTGCAAAGTTGGGCAATAACATTTTCTGACCAAGGCAACAGAGTACTAAAATTAAGTCATGTTATTTGCCTAATAAAATCAAGTAAAGAAATCTGCAGCTTAGGGGCGCCTGGGTGGCGCAGTCGGTTAAGCGTCCGACTTCAGCCAGGTCACGATCTCGCGGTCCGTGAGTTCGAGCCCCGCGTCAGGCTCTGGGCTGATGGCTCAGAGCCTGGAGCCTGTTTCCCATTCTGTGTCTCCCTCTCTCTCTGCCCCTCCCCCGTTCATGCTCTGTCTCTCTCTATCCCAAAGATAAATAAACGTTGAAAAAAAAAAAAAATTTAAAGAAATCTGCAGCTTAAAAGATCAGTTATCAGCTAAGATCCTGTGGTATCAAAGTATTACCTAGTATTATTTATTAGGAATTGATACTTGCATACTGTGACTCTTAAAATTAGCTTGATGGAAACAAGTTTGATTTATATACCACATTCACCCATTCTCTATCCTAAAAAGCCTATTTGTACACTTAAATTGATAAAATCAATACTCTAAACCATAGGGTATTGGGTCAGACTTCCCCAGAAATCTGACAGCGACTTCCACACCAAAATACAACTGCTTCATTTGAGATGTACTAATTAGCAACCTACTAAACTACAAAAGCTTTAACATTTCCCAAATTATTAGATCCTAACCAGTTTAAATTTTATTCTTACCAATCTATGCAAGTCATCTACCTGCTCCATGATTTCAGGCTATTTATCAAATAAGTAGCTGGGCAGAATAACCTAAGATTTCTTCCAATTTTAATACACTATTTAACAACTGAATACAGAATTTCTCCTGTCTTCCTCCAGAAAAATATGTACGTTAGAAGTATACATTTAGTTAAAAAGGCTTTCCTTTCTTCCCAATGCTTTAGTAATCCTTTAATTTGTATCCAAAAACAAAAACTCAAAACTAACCTAATGAATAAGTTATTAGGTAAATGTACTGATCAAAAAACCAAAAATACTGTATAAAACATCTGGGGCTAGGAAAATCATATTTTAAAAAACAAAATGAAAAATTGCATAAACAGAGTCAAATGACATAAGGAAGTTTCTAAACCAGGGTACCACTCAGTGAACTAGGATTTGGTTCTGCAGCCAAATCCTTAACTGATTTAAAAATAAGATGGTGATATTATATATAAGGATATCAGATATTCTTTAATTTGACCATGCCCATGTCTAGACAGAGAACAAAAATCCAAAAAGCCATGAGTTCAAAGAAAAACTGAGAGGACAAAATTATTATGACATTAGGCAAATTGAGTTTTTTCCACTGTATCATTAGTTCCAAGATAAACTATCAAAAGATTACCATTGATTAAGGAAAACACAATTACATTCTGAGAAGTCTTGAAGGTTAAATAATTGAAACTAACAAAATTAGTCCATAAAGTGATCAACGTTTACTTGGGTCCAGTCTTAAGAAAGTAAGGTAACTAATTAAAAAAAAATATGTATCCAAAAGGCACCTATTCAAATATAAAACCATAACAGAAGAATAAAATCCAGGATCAACAGTAATAGGCACCCCTTGTACAAGAGAAAAGTGTCTGTATGTAGAGAATAAATGGAATTTTTGCCTGTAAACCAAAAGGAATCAGACTTAAGTTTCTGAGGATGATCAACAGGAATAAAGTCATAGTTTTACAAGATTTTTTTTTAAAGCTGCACCCTTTCCAATACAAATCACCATGAAACTGAGTTCCTTTTATTTCACAATGCCTTAGAAGTTCTACACCATTTATGTAAAACTTAAGAAATTATTATGTTCCTAAAGAAGTTGTCAGTTTTTAAGTTCCCCTCCTTCCACATGTTAACTTCCCTTCACATTTGATATGGCCTTGGTCATTTGGAAAGTGACATTCAAAGGGTTAAGTATTAACATATTAGTTAATGGATAAAATAAACTTCTAGATTATTGTTATTTTCATATCCTATCTTGGTCCATTTTTTTGACAAGAAGAATATGGGTAACAGGCATTTTCATGTATAATGTATCTAACTTTTTCATTCAGTGGAACTCTGCTTCTTCCAATAACCTATGTTCACTTCCGGACGAGGAGAACATTCAAGCACGTTGCTGTAGGTCAAGCAACAAGTTACCCAAACCTAGCTATTTAAACCTAGAATATATCTGTCAACCAGAATGACACACCATGATTTACCCCATGAAAACCTCTCCGAGAGGTTAAAAGCAAAGCACCGTGAGTCCTTTAGACTCTTGTAAAAGTTCGGCTTAAAAACCTTTCATAACAAGTTTAAAATAACAATAGTGACATTACAACTCTAAAAGCACTTCTATAATTGTACATGGGTTCTTGTACTGTTCACTGTATAGAGAACGGACTGAAGACATACTAGTTTTAATTAACACTGTCAGATAACTGCCAGTTACCAAAAGGCTTAAGCATCACTAGGTGGAACAATATCAAACACTTACTGTACCCTTTTAGTCCCGAGGCATTTATTCAGAGAAGAAAATCTTTTTTATATAGTTTATATTAAATGCCTGTGCAATCACCAACTAGGATATACCCAAAGTAAGGTCATTCCCAAAGTAAGGTCATTCGTGAACAAGGTCGTTCTTATTTTAAAAGTACAGCCTGATGTCAGGGATGGAAACGAGCATGTAACACACCAGGAGCTCAACAGTGCAGAGCCTCTGATGAGATGGAAATGCACAAGGCAAGAAGACTCTGTACTTTCCTAATTCAGAAACTTTCCCACTAATTCCGAGTTTCCTGCCAGACACTAAAACAATAACAAGTAGGTAATGCATTTGTACTCAGATGATTTTCATCACTCCCTCTCCAGTATCAAATCTCTTTGGCTACCAATAATTCTTACCCTACATCGGGTACCCTACGTACATGCACAAATTCTAGTTTCTATCTCTTGCAAAGTTGGTACTCCTCGCCCCGCCCCGCCCCGCCCCAGCCCCCGAGCGAACAGTTAGATAATGACTTGTAAAGGATGAATTCGATAAACTGGCTTAACCAAGCTAAATTTAGATCCAAACCACCGAAAGATAAAGAAGTGGGGCTATACCTGCAGTTCACACCAGGCGACCTCCACAGTAGTTTCAGTGTCGAGACCTTTGTAGACGGTCTTAAAGGAGCCTCGGCCAATCTCGATGTCGAATTTGAGAAAGCGGCCATCGTTGGACATTCCCACGGCCTTGGTCTCCAGCTCTTCGATGTCATCCTGTTGCTGGCTCCGTTCCTCCTGTGGTTCCTTGGCGCTGCCGCCGCCGCCGCTGCCACTTCTGGCCGACGGAGGCTCCTCTTTGCTCCCCACATGGTTGGGCTGGGAAACTTGGCGGTCTCTGCCGGTACTGCTGGGGGCGGTCGCGGCTACAGCGCCCACGCCGGCTGGCTCCCCGGGGGCGGCAGCGGCGGGAGGCAGCTGGGCTACCTGGGCAGCGGCGGTGGCGGTCAAGGTCTCCTCGCGGTGGGGCTCCGGCGGGGTGCTCTGCGGAGCTGCCGTGGAGACGGCGGGCTGGGGGAGAGAAAGGGGAAGGCCGGGCAGTTCCAGCGCAGTGGCGTTGGAGTCGCAGATGACGCTGCGGCGGAAGAAGCGGTGCTCAGTGGTGGTAGTGGTGGCGGCCGCGCCACGGCTGTCCTTGTCCATAGTGTGGCGGCGACGCCGGTACTCCTCTGTCCGGCCAGTTCCGGCGTCGGGCCCCGCGCTGCCCAGTTTCTCCCCCACCGAGGAATCGGAGCTGGAGCCATTCTTGGGGGAAGGCGCCGGCGGCGAAAGGAACAAGGAGCTCGGAGTGCTGCTCTGCTTCTCTGAGGCGCCGCCAGACATGGTCGGTCCGCTGGAGCGAGGCGAGCGGGCTCGAACTCGTGAAGGAAGAGAAGGCGAGGGGCCGAGCCCGAGGAGCGGCGGCGGTGTGCGGGTCCCGCTGCGACGCCTCCCGCCGCCGGCGGGTTCGGATCCACCTGGACGGCCGGCTCCTCACTCAGCACTGACGAGCCGCCCCGAAGGAGACGCGGGCCCCTGGGCCCAGTTGCGGCGGCTGATACGGCTCACGAGGCGGGCTCGTCGGAGGGCGATCGAGGAGCTGAGCCACGGGGGTTAGCGCCTCACGGTCCGCATCCATCCTGCGGCGAGAGACGGCCGGGAAGGCTGGAGCAGCGGAGGCGCCGCAGTCATGAGGGGCAGGGCAAGGGGCCGGCACCAAGTCGAAGCGGATGCGGCGGATGCGGCGGCGGCTCCAGCTCCCCGCCGCCGCCGCCGCTTCCCGAGCTGGGCGGGCTAGGCCCCGGGGGCGGCGGCAACGCGAGGAACGGACGGGCGCGGACTCCCGAGCGGTGGCAGCCCCACAGCCGAAGAGAGTGGGAGGGGCCGAGGAAGGAGAGGGAGGGCCGGCCGGGGGCTCCCGGTCAGTCAATCGGTCGCCTCCTCCCACACGCGCCCCCAGCTAGGGGGACCAGTCTCACAGGGCGCCCATCGACCGGACGGGAAGGGCCGACGCCTCGAAGCCTCGGTGCCTGAGGAGCGGGCCCCCCCTTCCCCGAGGCCTCCCCGCCCGCCCCGGGCCTGGCAAACCCTCGTCTCCTCCCGGGCCGGTACCGGGGGCTGACGGAGGGAGGGAACGGTGGGGAGGGGAGGGCCGCTCACCGCGGGGCCCGAGCTCCGCTGCTTCTCTGGGCCGAGAGTAGAGGAGACCGAGAGGACTGGGTGAAGGGGGTTAGGGAGAGGAAAGAGTAGTCACCCCCACCGGGCGCCTTCTGTCACCGAAGATGGGGGCGCAGAGTGGCCGAGTGTGAAGAGCCGCGTCCGCCGGGGAAACTCTCCGCGCTAAATGGCGCCGGGAGTCTGAAGCCTCCACACAGCCCGCTCGGACCCCGCCCCCCGCCGCCCGGGGCGCCCCACCCCCACCCCGCTCTCGGGGCTCTAGCGCAGGCGTGCTAGTACCGAGGCTCCCTGGGACTTGTAGTTTTGGCATTAGAAGGATGAAAGGGACTGAGGACGAGGGAGCCTACGATTTCCGTGATGCTCTGTGGTTGCTTTACCCTGATGCCTCATGGGAGTTGTAGTTTTCTTTGGAAACCGCCCCTTCTGGAAGGCTGATGGGAGCGTCCCGGTGGGTCGCTAAACCCCATCCTTAAGTCAAGCTAGGAAAATCATTATTTAGGGTTTAATTTGCGAGAAAGGGGAAGGAAGAAAAAAAGGAAGAGGGAGGCAGGACGAGAGGAGAGACTTCCATCATGCTCCGTTGAGGCGAGAGAGAGCTAAGAGGTTGCCATGCAATGAAGGATGATCTGTTGTTCATCTTTAATGGAGAGAGCCGCAGTAGCGTTGAGTGACTGTAGGGGTGTGGGGGTGGAGGAGGAAAGCAAAGCAAAGAGAGCTAGAACCTGAGCTCAGAAAGCCGGAGGGGCTGAAGACTCCCTCTGTGGGGTCAAAGAAACTTTGTGAAGATTGTGCATGGGATTAATATTGGTTAAATGCGTTGGGGAAGGAGACGGGGAGTATTACCTCTTATCCTCTTCCCTTCCATAGCCTTTAAGGCCACATTCTCAGTTCCAGCTCCAAGACAGATATTCTGATTCTCAAAGACGGGCTGCTCTCCTGAAATCCGGGATTCATAGCGAATCCTTTGCTTTGCCAGAAAAATACTAACGGTGCGGTGGAGGGGAGAATCCTAGAAAAGATAAGGTCCACGTATCTTTGCGTCTTTTACCACAAACTTGGGAGAGCTGAGTTGACTTTTGCCTATGTAGTCGGTTGAGCTTAATTTCCATCTTTCGTTTGCTTGGAGGCTTAGTAAAACAACATACCCTTTTTCTAGAGGTGCACGAATGTACATGTGTAACTTATTCCGTGGCTTTGGACATAGAGGAAATCTGGATCCATGTAGTTCACAGTAATGGAATGCTTTCCTTGAAAGCATCCTTAGGCTCTCTGGACCCCTTTGCTCCTAGCAACTACTCAAGATTGTGCAGGTGATGAGCACCAGGGGGCACCAGACAGAGTGGGAAAAGCCAGACCCGTCAGATGGCAATTAAGACTCTTAGCCCACCGGGTGAAAGCGGGAGGCTCTTAAACGTACGCAACCGCAAGATAGCGTCCACAGGCTCCTGCCTCTCACCAGCGCCCTCTATAGAACGAACTCAGAAGCACACTTACTAGCCAAGCACCGCATTTGGAATATGAGTAGTTTGAAAGCAACTTGACAAAAGATTCCTTAGCGCGAGTTTCCTAGGAAAGGCCCACGGGTTACCGGGATGAGCTCCACTTCATCTGATATGTAAAATAGTTACACTATTCTTCAATGTTTTCTCAAAAAAGTACACTTTCAGGTTTACAAAAATTTGGTTTTGGCAACAAGGGTTGTTAGGTTTCATGAAGCTAACAAACTATGAACATTTTAAAATATAAATTCAGTGGGGGTAACTAGAGTACACACTGCATTGTACCCAAGACCCTTGACAATCACGCCTTATCAACATGTTTTTTCAACAACAAACAACTAAATTCATTGAAAGTAACTTAATTAACTTGAGCTAAAGCCACCCTTGCCCACAAGACTGCTCCTACTTGTGTAACGTTAGCTTTACTCTGAGAACAGGTACAACTTTAAGTTGAATATAACCATACTGTGTACAATGGCATGTAGATTTAAAGGTTAAACTGTTTAGTGTGTATATTTTACTACAGACACTTACTTGCTGGGTTTTCTTTTTAATGCCTACCAACTTCTAATTAACAGGATATTTCTGTTACTCATTACTATAATATCCCTAATAGTACTTTCTCTTTCTCTGTCATTTCAATTATTAAGTAAAGAATTGATCCCTCTATAATTCATATAAAACATCAAGTGGCATAAATAGAGGTAGCAGAAAAAAACTCAGGATACAATGGACACACTAAGCTCAAAGATTTTTAGCTCCTGACAGATGGGTCCATAAAAATAATACCAGTATTTTATTTTCTCTCACTATATTCTTCGTTCATTTTAGTCCTTGCTCATGTTCTCAAATTGAGTCATGTTTCTATTTCCCATCCATTTTATGTTTAGATGGTGCCTGCCATTTGTTACTAACTAGTAATGAAAGCCAGAGACAGCTTTGATTTCAACAGTAGCTAAACATACAAGATCTACCTTATTTTGTACGTGGCATATTTCATAGGGTAGCTTCTTGAGGTATAGGGCGAAAAAAACACCATCTTGAAAACATTTCTCTTTTTTTTGTCTCCTTCCTTTTCCATGCTCCGTTGTTTTGCCTATGGATATTTTTAATGTTACCTCCCTGTCATATGGAACCCAAGGAAGAAGGGAGAGTCAGGCAATTAAACAGTGAAGAATAGACTTTTTAAAACCTTTTTTTTTATTATAAATGAAATAAGGGGGAAGGTGGAACTTGCCTTCTTTCAAAGCATATTATAAAAGCATAGATTAAATGTATGACATTGAGATAAGCATAGATAATAGAACAGAAAAGTTAATACAGAAACAATCTTATGTATATATGAGGAAGATGGCATTTCAAGTCAGTGGAGAAAGGTTAATAAACAGTGTTTGGACAACTAGTTATTTATTTGAAAAACATATAGTTTCAATGTCTGCCCCCTACCTGTCACAAAATTACCATCCTCATAGTTAAGGGTTCCTGGGTGGCTCAGTTGGTTAAGTGTCCAACTCTTGATTTCAGCTCAAGGCACGATCTCATGGTATGTGGGCTTGAGCCCTGCAGTGGGCTATGCACTAACAAAATGGAGCCTGCTTGGGATTCTCTC